CTGTCTGTCTGTCTCTCTCTCTGTGTGTGTGTGTGTGTGTGTGTGTGTGTGTGTGTGTGCGCGTGCGTGTGCGTGCGTGTGTGTGTGTAATAGCACAGCGTTTAGTGCCTCTGATTGCAGGAACGCAGCACACTTTAAATGACAGGTATATCTGAAGAAGAGAAACTGAAGCTCAGAGAGTTGGGGTTAGGTCATCGCATTGTCAACCCCAGGACAGACGCAAGGTCCAGCAGGGGCGCCTAGGCACTCCCGCGAAGCCGCTAGCATCCCGGTTGTTAGCCCGCGCTTCTCCTGCGCTAGCCTGCAGCCTCTCTCGGGCACCAGACTCTCCTCCCTGGGGCTGATTCCAGCCAGGATAACAGCAGAGCCCTGCCCCTCCACCGCGCCCGCCCGCCTGGTGCGGGCCACTCACCGGAGCGCCTCTGGTCCGGGGTTCTGGGTCCGCGCCGCCGCCGTGCAGAGTCGCGCATCGCCCGAGCAGCGCAGCGCCGGGCGTCTTCTCCTAGCGAACAGAAAGTTTCCCGGGGCTTCCCGGGGCCCAGCCGGCTCCTCTGGCGAGTCTCAGCCAGCACTGCGCGCTCCGGCCTCCAGCCTCTCACTAGGGCGGCCGCGGGCTCCCGCTCCACGACGAGAAGGAGGCGGCATCCTGAACAAAGTGCCGTCCCCCGGGCCCGGCGGCCGGGGGCGGAGCCTAGTGACCCGCTGCCCTAGGCACACGCCGGCCGCCTCGGCGGAGGGCCGAGCTGGGAGTGCCCGTGGCTGGGGGTGGGAGGAAGGGGTGGCCCGGCTGCGGATCGCCCTCGTTTTCCTCCCCTGCACTGTGCCAGCTTAACCCGCAGAGGGGCGGAGGCATGGGTCCCTTCCAGACTTTGTCATTGGAAAGCTATTCCCGTAACCCTTTCCTGCGTTAGCCTTCCCGCCCCGCCTCCCCAGCCGACCGGCCGCAGAAAGGCGGCTGCAGCGTGGCGGGGGCTGCGCCGGGAGTTGTCAGGGCAGGAAGCCTTAGCACAATTGAGCCTTTCCTTTACCCAGGGACCTGGGACCACCACTTCCAGGAGCAGGATCCTCCTGCCCTAGTCCTCTAGCTACCTCGGTTCTTCCAGAGAAGGGTGCAGCTACCTCGGTTCTTCCAGAGAAGGGTGCAGATGGATCGGTGAGAGTCCATTTCCTTCCACTTTGGACCCCTGCAAGGGTCATGATATCTGAGCTGGGACTCTTGGGTGAGAAGTGAGGAGATGCCCCGGAAGTATCTAGCAAAAAGTAGACATTCAGTTAACTGACTTTCCCCACCTTCCTGACCCTAAAGCAGCCACCCTTCGTCCAGAGAAGTGGGAGGAGGAAGAGAGGAGGGGAATTGACAAGACCTTACCCAGGACCTTGCGCAAATGTCTGCAGTGCTGAGATGTGACTGAGTTTAAGACGCTTGCCTCCTGACCCGGGGGCTTGCAGACTCTGCAGCAAGCACACAGACGAAATCAGGTGGACTGTGCTCAGGCCCGGAGTTGTGTGTGAGAGAGAACACCTGCCACCAGGGACTCCGCATGTGAGGATCGTAGCCTTCTCCAGCTCCAGCCAACAGTCAGGAAGACTGATTTATTTTTAAGGTGCTGGGGTTGGAGGTTGGGAGGTGGAGAGAAAGCGAAATGCCGACTAACTAGGAGGTCTTGGCATAGTCAGATTAAAGTCCCAGAGTCCTGCTTAGCCCCCCCCCCCAGTCGTAGGACAAGGAGAGGTAGACAGTGGCCTTCCCAGATGGTCTGGGAAATGAATTTAATGTAATTTTTGTCCATGAAAGGAGTGAGTTGTCCTTTAGAGCGTCGAGAGGGCTGCAGAATAATGCCCAAGATGAGTCCTTTGCTCTCTGTGTAGTGGCTAAGGTGTGGGCTTTTAAGGCACACATTTAAAGTCGGCTGTCACTGGATCTTTAACAAGCTCTTTCACCTCTGGCTACTTCCGTTTCTTCTTCTGTAAAAAGAGACAATAGTAGTTCCTGTCTTGTAATGTTGTCAAAAGGATTAAAAAGGGAATGATACAGGTAACATGCTTGTTATAGTACATTCTCAGCAAACAGCATTTTAAGAGACTTAACCATTTAAATGGACACTCACCAATTGGAATCCCTTCTCAGAGTACCCCTAGCCTGCATAGAGGGGCCTTGTCTTAAGAAGCACTGTCACCGGGCATGGGAGGCACATACCTGTAATCCCAGTACTCAGGAGGCTAAGGCAAAGGGATCATGAGTTTGAAGCCAACGTGGGCTGCATAGACAGACCCTGTCCTTTCTTGGTGCTCACTGAATAGGGGGCTATCTAGGTTTCTTGGCCCTGATGTCCCAAGGACAAAAGATTGTGATAGACACACAAATGAAGGTCAGAGACTGAACTGCCCTGAAGTCAAACTGAATGTGGGGCCCATGCAGCCACGCTGGGAACGACAACATGATGTTACTCCTAATGTGCTTCCCAAGTGGAAAGGAATGCCAACGCCATAATTTTGTGAGAATTTAGTCTTATATTTACATCATGTAAGCCCCCCTTACACTCTGCTCCAAATGCCCCAGTCATACACCTCCAACGGGTGAACTTGAGTTTGTAGGTAAACACAGGAGCCTGTGCACAGCCTTGCGGAAGGGAACTAAGGGGCCCAGTTTTATTGGGGTGACAGAGTGTCTGAAGGCTACCAAGAAGGGGCATAGGTCAGAGCAGCAGAGAGGAGCAGTCAGGGGCCAGTAAGGGCAGGCCTGCTTGGAGACAAAGCAGGGTTCCCACACATAAGTGGCCTCTGCTAAATGTCTACCTTGTGAGTGGTTTTTGTCTGAACACTGATGATTCAGTTGCTCTGAATCAAACAAATGGATTTTCCTTAAATATGAAAATCAATGAGAGGTAAAGACAAGGGCTGCAGACTGGAAGGATGGCAGGAGCCAGAAGGATGCCTGCTCCAGAGTAGATTAGTTGGTGAGTGGTAGAAGAGTGAATTAGAGTAGGGGACCTTAGGCATGATCACAGTTCACCATCCCCATGGAGAAGGTGGCTTCAGGACCTGCTGACCCCACTAAGGCGGGTCCCTGCTCTGTCCTCTGCTGCAGAGCACCATTTCTGCTCCAGGGCAAATTGTTAACAAGAGGATTAGTGTCAATGTGACAAATAGGTTTTTAAAAAATCAGCCCAAGGAGCTTGTGGTCATCCCATTGAGCCTTGACTTGGCCTGAGATGAGAGCATTGGAAGCCCCAGGAAGCATAGAAAATGATTATTTATTTATTTATTTCTTCTGCCACAGCCTGACTGCTATGTGTGGGGGCGGGGTGCATGTTTTCTTGCTGTCTTGAGCTCTGTAGACCAATGTTCATTTGTCTCACCACTGGGGTCACCTAGTGTAGGACTTTGGTGATCTGAAAAAGAATCATAGCCCCTGCATTCCCTGTGGCCTGTAATGGGACAGTCTTGACCCTCTTGGCTTCTTTCAGGGCTCTGAGAACAGTTTGTAAGGAACTTGGCAGTGATATGAAGACAGTGCATGGCTTCATTTTCTTCAGCATGTAACAAACATTATTAGCGCGCCTGAGGTGGAGTCCAGGGACCTTCTGACTTCCTCGTCTGAAGCCAGTGGAAAAACACTGGGCCTGGCTGCAGAGGGCCTCATTCCATCCACGCCTGGCTCCAACCGCTTTCTGAAGTGCATCACCTCAGTTTGCTCATCACTTAAAAGAGGGTATCATCACCCAGGGGACATCAGTACATGCCACCAAGGCTGTGGTATCAGTGAGATCATAGAAGGGACTTTGGCTTAGATAGTGCCACTCAAACGTAAGCAGAAGTGCAGTGACCACACAGCTAGCAGCAAGTCACACCCAGCCCACGATACCCCCACTTCCCCCTTCACTGGTTGTGGGCTCAATGCTGCAAAGTATATTGTGAGAGCTAGAAGCCTGCTCACACATAATCCTGCCCTCTCTAGCTTGGTTCATTAGCCGGCAAGGGGCTTCCTATGCAGCTGCCCTGTCCTTGGCCACTCTGACCTTACAGCGTTCTCCCCACCCCCCTACCCCCATCCCTGCTTTCAATGTTGATTGCCACCGTGAATGAGGGCCCAGGAGGAAACAGTCTGTGGGGAAAAGCTGGCATAGCAATGAACATTTTATGAGAACCAGCCAGTCACTGCCTTATCGGGAAGATGAGCTTCTCCTTCACTGTTACCAGGAAGTAAGATGTGAGGAGAGCCAGTGTTTTTCCAAAGATGGCCTTTGAAGAGGAGTGTTTCTTTAAGGGCAGGGAAAGTAGAAGTGGGGCTGGTGGAGTGAAACTGGGCTCCTCTAAGAAACGTGGCTCTGGTAGACTTTGCAATCTGGAAGATAATGACAGTCCACACTTACACTTGCCTGGTGCCTACAGCTATTTTGTGTGTGTGTGTGTGTGTGTGTGTGTGTGTGTGTGTGTGTGTTTTCAAAACAGGATTTCACTGTGTAGCCCTGGCTGTCCTGGAACTTGCTCTGTAGACCAGACTGGCCTCAAACTCACAGAGATTTGCCTGCTTCTGCCTCCTGATGGCTGGAATTAAAGGTGAGTACCACCACCACCTTGTGCCTATAGCCATTTCAAATACCCAACCTATACCAACCCATATCATAACAAGCCTATATAAAAAACATCAGTGATTTGGGATGTCTTTCTGTACACTGTGAATATGTGTTGCTCTCATTGGTTGATAAATAAAGCTGCTTTGGCTTATGGCAAAGCAAAATAGGGCCAGGTGGGAAATCCAGGCAGAGATACAGGAGAAGGGAGGAGTCAGAGAGATGCCAGCAGCTGCCCAAGGAGCAACATGCCAGAGCACCACCAGTAAGCCACAGGCCATGTGGCTATACACAGATTAATAGAAACAGGTTAATTTAAATGTAAGAGCTAGCTAGAAATAAGACTGAGCCATTGGCCAAACATTTCTAATTTATATTAAGTCTCCGAGTGATTATTTGGAAATGGCTTTGGGGCTGGGTGGGACAGAAAAGCCTCCGATTACACATCAGGCTTTTCTTTTGACCTTTTATCAAAAGTCTTAAAGTTTTGTGTTTTTTAAAATGTATTTGTGTGTGCATGTTTAATGAGTATGTGTGTTCAGTATGTGTAGGAGATTTATGTGCAAGAGAACAGCCCTGGATGTCATTCTCAGGAATGCTGTCCATTTCCTTCGAGACAGGGTCTTTCACTGGGCTGGAGTTCACCAACTGGGCCAGATTGTCTGGCCAGAGATCCCCAGGGATCCACCAGCCTCCACCTCCCCAATGCTGGGATTACAAGAGCATGCCCTCATATTTGGTTCAGAGGATTGAACTGGGGTCCCTTTGTCGATGGAGTCACCCCCACCACACACACACACTTTAAAACTTTAAAAAGAAACTAAAGTTTCTTTTTAAAAGACAGGATCAGGAGCTGGGGAGATGGCTCAGCAGCTAAGATAATGGAATGCTTTTCCAGAGGGTCCAGATTTGATTCCCAGCACCTACCTGGAGGCTCACAGACCAGCACCTATACTTGCATCTCACAGTAGTCTGTAACTCAGTTCTAGGGAATCTGCCACCCACTTCCAGCCTCTACCCACACCAAGTACAGAAGAGGTGCACAGATATATACAGGCAAAACACTCATACAACATTGAAAAAACAAGGTATCTCTGTATGGCCTAGGCTGGCTTTAAACTCCTTGGCTCCAGTGATCCTCCTGCCTCAGCCCATTCAGTAGTAAGAGCTATAAATGTATGCCACCAGGCCTGGCCATAGGTATTCTTTTAAAAAACATTTTCTTTTTTAAAAGAAAAAAACTATATTTCCATGCTTGTAACTCTACAAATTCTTCTAATCATAACATTTTCAGCAAGTGAATTAATCATATTTTCTATATTTTATTTGTAGCTACTCTTTTTTTTAAAGATATTTATTATGTATACAACATTCTGCTTCCATGTATATCTGCACACCAGAAGAGGGCACCAGATCTCATAATGGATGGTTGTGAGCCACCAAGGGGTTGCTGGGAATTGAACTCAGGACCTGTGGAAGAGCAGCCGGTGCTCTTAACCTCTGAGCCATCTCTCCAGCCCTAAAAAACATTTTCTTCTGTATTTATTTATTGTGCATGATCTTGCCCACGGGTGTACACATGTGTACAACGTGCAGAAGCCAGAGGAGAACTTGTGGAAATTGATTCTCTCCCTCTATCATGTGGGTCCTGGGGATTGAATTCAGGTCATCAGGTTTGTAGGCAAGTGCCTTTATAGGCTGAACTATCTTGTAGGCCCCATAGATATAATTTTTATTTCTATTTTGTAACTGAAGAAATTGAGGTAAAGTATCTTTTGTGTGTGGTTCTCACAGTTATTAAGTTCTAGACTGAGGATTTGCCCCCACGACATCTGACCCCTGCAGTCCAGAGGACTATGCTTACACAGAGGAGCACACTATGGCAGCATGGATAGCGGTGAGGGGCCCTGCTATACACTAGCTTCAGTGCACACACCTTTGTTTATTTTCTTTTGACAGCTTTCCTGAGGTAGAATTTACTGTAAAGCTTGACCAATATAAGTGTAAAACTGGCTTGTAGCAAATCCATAGTTGCATGATCATCACCACACTCAACCTTTAGAACATACTCCAAGTTTTCTCATGGAGCACTGCCAGCCTCGTAGAACTGTTAGGAGCATGACATGGGGCATGGGAGGGGTGTGTGGCATCAGCAGCTCTTGTCATCAGTGTCACCATAATCTCTTTGTCATTGGGGTGCAGTCTTTCAGACTGGAAAGTGCCTTAGAGACTGTGGAATCCCACCCGCCTACTTCTACAGGAAGACGCTAAGGGGCCAAGATGTCTTACAACTCTTCAAGTGGTGGCAGGGCCGAAACTGGAATCCAATTTTCTGGGTTGGTGGCTTGAGGCATTCTTTTCTCTGGAGACATTTTCTCCTTCTGTGACACAGGGATGCCATTTTTCAACACCATTGCCATCTTTGTGGGTACCTCCAAAGCAATGCTGACAGGCAGCCGTGGACC